TTTAGATCACTGTTTCTCTGGTGTATGCATTATCAAAAATCTTCCTAGTATACCGTCTACCGCTTTTTTATCATGCACATGTTCTTGTGCAACATCATCTTCTACATTCGTATTCTGATCTTCTGATTTCGTAACCTGATTTATAACCGCAAAAAAGTAGGGCAAAAAAGTTAGCATTTTAAATGTACATTCATAAATCAAAATTGGAATTACACAGAACAACTTTACTTATAGAGGATTTTCTGAATGAAAGTTTTCCGAAATTTCCTGTACTATCCATGTTTATTTTTGACATTAACAAATTAGTAACGTCGCGGTATAACAAATGTTTTGGTTTTTAACAGCTTTTTTCCACCAATTTTCTTTAACAAATGTAACTAAATTAAGCCAAAATGCATCTGAAATAAAATAATGAATACTTAGTTTTAAACCTATTGGATGAATATCTACTGTTCACAATCATACTAGCGTTTAAAAAATGAGTTTAAACTGTTTATAAAACTTACGAAAATAGTTCTTTCAGCAGGACATTCATAACGAGAGACCATCTACTCATAATTTTTAACTATGTAAGTGTGGCCATCAATAATAAACATTGAAGTCCATTGTTTTTTTGGCATTTAGGAAGGTTGATTGTCGCGAAAAGAGCTTTTTAACTTCCATGGTTTAAAATGGCACACCCGATACTCGTTTATTATTTATTTTTCGGTGTGTCAACTAATTCGAAGCAACTATTAGACAAGATCTAATAGTTTAATATACGTTTACTTAAACCAAATCTAAACGCTTTATATACGTTAATTAGACTAGATTTAAACGTAAATTAGACATAATCTAAACGCTTTATATACGTATAATAATCCTATAATAGACGTCTAAAACACGTTTGAATATAGACGTTTTATGGACGTTTGTTCTAAACGTTAATCTGGATTTCATTCTGAACGGATAATTGACCAAATCTGAACGTTTTGTCGAAACGTCGTTTTGACGTTTAATAGACGTTTGTGTGTTTTACTGGGTAATAGGTAATACCATAAATAAGATATAACAAATAAACAAACGAAAAGAAAGAAAAAGAACTGAAAAGTTAAAAAAAAAATATGCAAATAATTCTAATGATTCATGTCAGCTATTATTTAATTTAGTTTTTGAACTTATAGGGACATTGAATTTAAGGTTAACTTAAATTAACAACATTGTTTTTTAGTTGATGTAGTGTTTTAGATGATTTTATTTTATTGATCTATTGTAAAAGAAAGAATATAAATCAACATCTGTGTGTTATAAACACCACTTTGATTCAATCTTAAACTGATTAAGTGAAATATTCTTTTCGGCAACATTATTTAGAAACCTTTTCCACAAAAATGGCCCGCGATTTTTAATTGAGTAAGAACTCAGTTTTAAATATTTTAGTACAACAAAGTTGTTTTTGTTTCTTGTAGAAAACTTACGGTGTATTTCTTCAAAATAATTTTTAAAATTTTTTGGAGACAGTCCACTTTTTTTTATGTATAAACTGTAAAACGAGATAAATGTTAAGTTTAGGATTATTTAAAGCGTCAAGTCTACAAAAAAGAGGTTCATAAGAAACAGCTTTACCAGCTCCAAATACAATTCTAACTGCATATTTTTGCTCGCTGCATAGTTTTTTTGACTTAGTGTGATTAGTACTTGCCCTTACTATACTGCCGTAAGTTAAATAACTATGTATAAAAGAAAAATATAAATTTTTTAAGGACCTAAAATTTAAAAATGGTTTTGCTCGATAGGTCATCTCATTATTTTTTGTGATCTTTTTTTCAATAGAGTTTGTATGCTATTTACATGATAGATTTTTATCATAATTCACTCCTACAAAAATTAAAAGAATTAATTTTTATTAATTTGGAGATTGGGTAAAATAAGTGGTATTTTTTTGATTTGCTTGGTTTGTAGAAAAGAGAAAATTTTGTTTTTTGAACATTTAAAGACAGTTTGTTGCAAATAAACCATTCATTTACTTTATTTAGTTCTTAATTGACTACTTTAAAAAGTGTTTTAATGTTTTTATGAGAATAAAAAAGATTAGAGTTTTCTGGAAATAAAATGAAATTTAATAAGTCTGATGATGAAGATAAATCATTAATGTAAAGAAAGAAAAGTAAAGGTCCTAATATACCCCGTGGAGCTCCACAAGTTATATCATTTTTGGTTGTTTTTATACTATCACATTGTACGTATAGTTTTCTGTTCGACAAGTATTTTTTAAACCAGTGTAAGTTTGAATCCTTTATACTGTAATGTTCCATTTTTTTAATTAGAATGGAATGATTTACGGTTTCAAAAGCTTTGGGCAGATCAATGAAAACTCCTAATATAAAACAGTCTTCTTTAAATGTATTAGATATATGGTTAACTAACTCTACTATAGCGTAATCAGTTGAACGTTTTTTTTTTTTGAAACCAAATTGCTTACTGTATAACATATCATTTTCTATTAAATAACTATACAGTCTCTTGTGCATTATACGTTCAAGCAATTTAAAAAAACACGATAAGACAGAAGTAGGCCTGTAATTTGAGGGGTCTGACTCATCTCCAGACTTAAAAATTGGAGTGACTCGTGCAACTTTTAATTTATATGGAACTATATCTAATATGAAAAATAGACTGAAAATACGAAATAAGGATGGTTCAATTATATCATAGACTAATTTTAATATATTGACACTAACTTTATCTGATCTTGTACTTTTGTTAACTTTTAAACTTAATAAGGCAGATCGCAACTCAATTAAATCTAGCTTAGATTCTTTCATTTTTTTATTAGAGGTTGTTAGATAGGAATGTTAGTGAAGTTGGAGGAATATTTCGTGCAAAATTAGAGCTAACATTTACAAAAAAGCTACTTAATTTTTCAACTATTAGCACTTTATCACAAATTAAATTACCATCAATTAAAAGTTTCTTTGGCAAAACGCTATTTTTACATTTATTTTGACCAATTATTTGTTAATTATAATTAAATATAATTCACAACAATTATTCCATATTTGTTGTGAATTATATTTAGATTTTTCTATTAGTTTAGAATAATAATTTTTTTTTTTTTTTTGAGTATTTTTTGATTTTTTCCAAAAAATTCTTATAGTTTTTATATTTTAATTTCATTTGAACAAGTTTCATTTTTTAAAAATTTTTGATAAAGTTTTTGTATTTTCCTCAACGATTTTAGAAAACCTTTTGTTATCCAAGGAGATAAAAATGGTTTTGAATTTATACAAAACTTTTTAGACGAAATGCTTTATTGTATTGTTTACAAAATTGCGATAGGAAATGTTCATAGGCATTGTTATCATTGTGAGATTGAAGAACCAGTTCCCAATCAACGCAGTTGATTAGAAAGTTGCGAAATTGATGTGTGGAGTTTTCATTGATCTGTCGTTTAAATATTATATGTTTTGAGGGAGTATAATTAGGTTTTAATAAAAGATGTTGTAAAATGATCAATTTTTATTAGACTTGTACTAAAGCAGATATTAAAAAAAAGTATTAGTAAATATTTTCTCGAGTAGAGCAGAAGAACTATTTGTGGTTCTCGTTGGTTTGGTTATTGTTGGAATGAGATTTTTTTTTTGAAGGTGGGGGGGGGAGGGAGGGTGTTGTATGTATTTATTAGGAAACCCTCTACACCCCCGTTTGGGACGGCCCTGCATCCATCTCTCTTAGTTTGTTTCTGATTTTTAACATTTCACTTTTATCTTTAACTTCGTTGTTAATTTTTTTGTTTTGTTTGTTTTTGTTTTATTACTTCAAACTTTGATGAAATTATTTCACTATGTGCAAAAATAAATTTTTTATTTTATTGAGTTCGTTTTCTAAAAATGCTGCCTTTTGACAACTAGCGTTTAAATCGTTTGCGATAATATTTGTTTTTGTTATGTTCATCATTGTATCAATTTCAAGTTTATCGAATCGTTCCGTTAAAATTTTCATATTAACGGAAGTAATATGAGCAAAGTTCTTTTCTTGTTCTTTTAAAAGTTTTTTTGTTTTTATTAAGATAATATTACTTTGATTTTCTAACATACCAGCTACCATTTTCCTTATACTTTCTAATCATATGACTTTTATTTACATTGCTTTATTTTATTTTTTAATTTTTTTATAAAAACTATCATGAGGATTAGATTATACTTCAAGTAATAAATTTTCAACAAGCTTGATTTAAATTTTTTCAAGAAATTTCTCTGCGACTGTCACGGATTTTCCTTTATGAACCAAATTAGATTTTGCTTTTAAATCTTTTCTGTTTTCCACTTCCAGCATTTTAATACACTGATTCTCTTTATATTGCCTCAAAATAAATTCAATCGAGAATCGAGAAACACTAGTCAAAATAAATGCAATTGAGAATCGAGAAACACCAGTCAAAATAAATCTAATTGAGAATCGAGAAACACCAGTCAAAATAAATGCAATTGAGAATCGAGAAACACCAGTCAATTTCGAAATCTCAACTTGTGATAATGAAAAACTTTGAAGAAAAATTTCTGAAATTTTTTTCTGACCTTATATTATTTTATTCATTTTAATCCAATAATATTAACCAATACGCATTCCATTTAAATCAAACAACAACATATTAGCGTCCATGCGCAAAAAAATATTTAAAAATGTCACTTGGGTTTTGAGTAATGAGCGATTAAAACGTGCTAAATTTCATCGCGTTCAACCGATAAACTTTGCTGAATCTATCAATTCAATTTATTTTAAATCTTTTTTTACTGGATCGGATCGACGTTACCCCAAAACGTGGGTTTTCTATAACCCTCCTTAAGCCCTCCTCAGTGTTTGAGAATATATTTTTGTGGTTTTCAAGCAATAGACGTTAAAGAAAAATGGACCAATAAACTGATAAAGTTTTTTGGTTTTTTCTGTAATCTGCCATTTTGCTTGAAAATAAAGCTTTTTGTTTATTTTAATTTTTTTATTTAGGTGCCCCAAGAAGACCTAACGGTCTTGCCACAGAGCACCGCGGAAGTACATTTAACTAAGAAGTTTACGCCTCCTTCCTTACCGTGACGCCACGGCCGCCAAATTTAAGCACGAGTATCTTAGAATGCATGGAATTATAGATTAGAATAGATGCAATGATTAGTATAACATATCATTAATTCTTATTTCACATGAAAAAAGTTTGAGATGGTTTCCAACATCGTTACCCGGAAGTGCTGTTGTGCTAAAACAAAAAACAACCATTGATAGTGTTAATACAAAAAAGCTCAACGAAAAAGTAAATATTTAAAATCTTAAGGCGTGTTATATATCTTGTAAAAGTTTTAGGTATCCAAAATTTGGCTTTTTGTGGCAGCAGTGATAAACTTTATGAATATGAGTAGTATGCATTGTAGTTTTCTTAAATTATAGAATTTCTTTCCTTGTTTGATCCAATTAATAATGAACATCTTAGAAGGATACAAAATGACAGTAAAAGACATGTTCACTATTTGAGAAAAAATATTCAAAATGAACATATTTAAGCGATATCAAATGTTATCAAAGACAATATTTCATGGATTAAAAAAGTAAAGTATTCTAATAGATATCACAAAACAAATGACCACCACAATAAAATTTTTATTGAAATTCATCCTTTTAGTCTGTTGATGAAGAATTCCATGAAAGTAGCATGTTACAAGCAAAGAGACTACAGGTGAATCTATGATCCGCATATTGATGAATCAGCTGAAAAATCTTTTATTGTAATTGAAGACTTAAGAGATCAGGGTTATAATAATGAGAACAGTATAAAGGGAAAAGAAAAAAGTCTGCAAAAATAAATTTTCGATATTAATTTTTGCGCTTTTTACGTCTCTTGCAGCTCCCACACTCCCATACTCCTTATTTTGAAATGAATGCAGTGCTAAAATAAATGAAACTATTGTCACCAAAAACTGCAATAGATCCTGCAAAACTTAGACTCCAGAGAGGTCTTTTGCGTCAGAAACAAGTTCCTAAGAATTAATTTGTATTGGATTTGATGGGAAAAAAGACGTAACTTTTGTTGATAAGTCTGGTGTACGTAGGAGCATAAAGGAAGAGCATTATGTTACTGTATCATTGCCAAACTAAAACTGTATTGATTATGTAAAGCCAGAAACAAGTTAGGCAGTTGACGTTGCAGATGAGATACTATTAATAATTGCAAATACAAGTTCAGCAAGTACCAGTTGTTTGTGACGGCGCATTAAACAATACAGGCAAAAGAAATGGTGTGATTCAAAAATTAGAGAAAAGGATCGCAAGAGCACTGCAATGACTTGTTTGTCTGCTGCCGTGAACTGCCATTTTGGAAATACATTTCTGAAATTGATGGAAGATGTACAAGAGGTCCTAGTAGTTCCAGTGATGCAATTAGGAGTACAATAGACTTTGATTCTTTGGGTTTACTAATTTTAAGTTTAAAGTTATGCTAGGAAGGTGGTTGAGGTAAATGATGAGGTTAAAAACAATCTAAGAACAGATCAGAAAAATTTTTTAAGAGCATGTTTAGCAGTGCAGTAAGGTTATCACTAGAGATAGTGATGAAGTTACATCTTTACAGAACATAATGCCAGGAAACATAAGCCATGCTAGGTGGCTGACAAAAATAAACATAATTTTTAGGTTGTATATGTCAAAAGAGGCCTGCTTCTAATCACTCTACAAAATTGTACGCTTTATCGTAAATGTTTACGCTCCGTCATGAATCAATATTGAAAGTCATCTTTTTTTGCTCATGGTGCAAAGAATTTTTTATTACTTGATAAAGCAGTTTCATGAGCTTGGAGCAAAAGATTGGAAAATAGTGGAACCTGTGTTGCAGAAAAACAACTACTTAGCCCACTGTGAAAACATTCTACTTTCTAATGTTTATGACAATGATGACTCTAGACAAACAAATTAATTTGAGAAGTAGTTCGTGCAGTTCTTTTGTACGTGTTTTTGACAAGTCAAGCATCAAGCTTAACACCAATGCTTTGACTTACGTTGATATGATTGTCTAGACTGCAGTCTAACTAATTGCTAACTGCTATTGAAAATAAAATTTTCAACGCCATCAGTTTGATTTCATATTTGGTATACCCTGTCACTCTCAGGTAGTTGAGCGTGCTATCAAATATATCTCTGCAACAAGCTTAACTGTTTTTGGACAACGCATGAGATGATTTTACAGGGTACTGCATCCAGAACAGACTTACCTAGTGTTTACTGTAAGTCAGAAATTTTGTAATTCACATTTCATATATTGTTTCATTGAACTAATAATATCAAGAACTGTTCATTTTAACTAAAAATATGGAGAAATGTTTACTTTAAGTTTCAGATATAGTTAGAGCCAGCAATAGGGAGGCGCAGGGGTTTTTTTTTTTACTTTTTTCAATAAGTTAACATGCTTATGACCCAAAAAAAACACCTCTACTCGCTGACCCTGGATATGGCCTTTGTATCATAGCAAGTGCTCGATGAATTTCTAATATGATAATTTTGTATGAGTATTTGTATATGTATATATATGTATATATATATATATATATATATATATATATATCGATATATATCGATATATATTCATATATAATCATATATATATATATATATATATATATATATATATATATATATATATATATATATATATATATATATATATATATATATATATATATGTATATATATATATATATATATATATATATATATATATATATATATATATATATATATATATGTATATATATATATATATATATATATATATATATATATATATATATATATATATATATATATATATATATATATATATATATATATATATATATATATATATATATATATATGATTATATATCGATATATATCGATATGTATATTTTAGTATGAATAAAAATATATACAGTATATAAAGTAGGCAAAAAAATAATTAGCGAAAATTTTTTTTTGAAAAATTGTATAAAATGATTAAAAAACGGTAGTTAATTTTTGTTTTTAAGGGAAAAAACTTTCATTTATTTGAAAATAACATTATATAGAAGCATTGTATTTAAAAATTTTTAAATATAAGTTCATATGACGTAGAAAAATTAACTGTACTTAGATTCATCAATAATGGCACAAATAAGGAAAATTTGCAAATTTAGATAAAAATTTACTTTTCAATATTTAGTAGGGCCACCCTTTGCCTGAATAACCGCTTGCAGATGTCAATACATCAATTCCACTAGAGATATGGTTTCTTCTGGAGTTATTTTCTCCAATGCTTCAACTATGGCTGCTTTTAGATCATTTTGTCATCTGTAAGCTCGATCTCAAGTTTTCCGGTCTGTAGAATGTACCATAAATGCTCAATATAATTAAGATCAGAGCACTGGGAAGGCCATTCCATCACATTAATATAATTTTTTAGAAAATATTTCTTTGTTGCTATGGCAGAATGCTTTGGACCATTGTCTTGTTGAAAGACGAAGTTATTTCCGAATCTAAATTTACGAGGTTCAAATTTTGAGGGCTTCAAATTTTGCTTTAAAATAACTATATACAATTAATAACTATATACAATATTACAAAAATAATTATATACAATTTGGCGTTCATTGTTGATTCAATGAAAGTCTGTTTGACAGCTTCTCACCACGCCATTGATCCCCACACCATGACATTTCCACCACCGTGTTTTACTGCTCTTCTCATGCAACTCAATATGTATACCTCGCCTTGTTTTTGTCTAACTATTTGCTATCCGTCTAATGAGATCAGGTTAAATTTAGATTCATCACTCCAAATCACTTTCTTCCAATACTCCATAGTCTGATCAACACTTTTTTTGTAAAAAATAATCTTTGTTTCGTTTGTCTTAAAGTCAAAAAAGGTTTTTTGCGACATACTCTACCATAAAATATTTTTTTTCGGATTCTATTTCGGATAGTTTAAGCTGAAATCATGATTTGTGGTCGTTTTTAACTTTGTCTGCAATGTTTTGAGCAGCTTTAATTCTGTTTTGCGTGACTTTGACGTAAAATAATGCTTCTATCAATGGCAGCAGATGGTTTTCTTTTATGGCCTCTTCCTTCTATATTAGATCTGGTCCCGTTCAAATTATACTTTATATAATGTTGCCGACTGTTCGAAAAAGGAATTTCTGTCGGCTTATTAATTTCTCTCTAGGCCATACCATTATTTACCAAATCCTCAACTAAGTTTTAAGAAATCGTCTAATGTAGTTTTACAACGCGCATTTTGCTATAAGTTAATTAGTTTTTATTCAATTAATTAAAACTCATAGACTACATGTATATTTTACATGTTACCCATGTAAATATCTTATGTGTTTCATGTGTAAATATAATTTTAGCCTTAAATTTACCAAAATTTTATTTTTTTCCAACAAAAACTCCAAAAATATAACACCTGCGTGCTTTTAATTTTTTTTTAATCAATAATCCTCTGGTAAAATTGTGCACAAGTAGGAGAGAGTTGCCGAACAGCGCCTTAATTGGAACACTTGCTTTTATTTTTCAAAAAAAATGAGTTATGGCTATATTTTGCATTATTTTAATAAAACGCATTATTTTCTACGTTTTAACACATTTTAAAAGTTATTCCTTAAAAAATGCATTTGCACCATTGATTTAATGTTTTTTGTGTCATTTTTTTTCAGTGATCTAATTTTGCGTTCACGCTATATTGGTTGCACTTGGTAAACTATGGGGCTAAAGGTTATACGATTTTTTGTGTTTAATTTGATGGGATTTAAAATGCAAAATAACAGTATAAACTTATCTAATAAGTTGCTGGAAGCATGTTATTGCAGTGATATAATAAAATAGCCCAAAGTTTCCTTGATTGGAACAATAAAGTTTTCCTTACTTAATCAGTAATAAAATCAAAAGGTTGTAAAAATAGTTTGAGTGCAATTAAGAAATACTTAGTAACAACCATAAACCGTAAAAAAATACTTTATTTAGTGATTTTTAATCAATAAATTAAGAGAACGTCATTACAGTTGAAGCTTTTATACAATTTTTTGTTTGTAGACTTCAATTTTGTCAGGGTAATAGTAATCCGGGTAATAGTAATAATCATAAATTTTAAATTAACTGTTTAAATTTTTACTGTAATAATAATAATCATTTTTAATCAATTTTTGTTGTTTTTTTTTAAAAAAGTAACCTGTTCTGATTAAGGAATTAAAGTGTTCCAATTTAGGGAACCAGTTGCCTTGATTGGAACAAAATGGTACCTTTGCAAAAACAAATTTATTTCCAATAACAGTGCAATCAATTAAGTTAAATTTTGGTTAAAAGTATAGTAGAGATGTCTGTTTGTATTATTCAAATCATAAATGTTTTCATAGTTAAGCCATCTTTGGTTAATAAATATTTATTCCTTAAGTGTTCCAATTAAGGCAACTCTCCCTACATATAAAAATCTTCATAATAGTACTTTTTACAGTTTTTAAAAAACATGAGTAAACGGATAAGTTAAAAAGAATAAACTTTTAAAAATATTGCTTGTGCCATTTACTTTTTTGCCTACTGTACAGGGCCAGTGCAAGGGCCATGCGAGTTATGAGGTCGCATAGGGCGCCAGCGTGGTTGGGACGTGGCGCTGGCGAAGCCAACGTTTTTTTTTCTTATTATTTTTCTTTTTAATCATTAAAATTTTAATTTAAAATAAATAAACTTATATACATTTTTTAGCGTCCGTATGTACTGAGTTGTTTACATATTAGGGTCGCCAAACTTTATGTGCTAATGATTTTACTCAGCAATTTAATGAAAAAATAATTAAATCGAGGATAGTAGTTATTATTTGTTTGAAAGAATAAGTTTGTGAGTTAATTGTTAAATTAAATCATGTTAAATGTTTATTTAATTGTAAACTCAAATTAAGGGGCGCCAAAGTTTTTATTTTAAACAATTGATTTTGAATGTATTTGCTTCTGATAAAAAAAAAAAAACTTGTACTCTAAGTGCAAAAGACGTCAGAAAAAAATTCACAATCTCAAGATTTAAGAGATATTCTTGATGAAGTTGAAGCTAAATCTTTTTTTGTACAAAAGTGCTTTAATTCACAACCAAGTACCAGTAAAAGTATGTCAATTTCATTTTTATTTAAGGTTTAGCCTCTTCTTGAAAAAATATAATTTAAAAAAATACAGTACAAAATCTTGTTTTAAAACAAATACTTTAGTTTTAACTCCTCTCTTTGTATTGTGCCATTCTTTGGTACTCAAGAATTGAGTACCAAAGAATGCTTTGGTACTCAATACTTGTAATAAGAATTGAGTACCAAAATTTAAATAAGAATTGCTTATCGTGGAACAAGTGAAACAGTTTTCAAAGAAAACAATCAAAACTTTTTACAATTTTTTGAACAGATATCAAAATTTGACACTTTTCTTTCTGAACATATTCGTCGGGTAGCTGCCTAAGAAAATCATGTATATTCTTTAAGAAAAAAAATTCAAAATGAGTTTATTTGTCTTCTTTCCGATAAAGTTATTGAGTTTATTTTGTGTGAACTGCAGAAAATTTTGTTTTATTCTATAAATCTTGAATAAACTCCTGACGTAATTCGTAAAGAACAAAAGACACATATAGTTTGGTGTGTGCGTGCAGTTGCAGGAGAAGAAGTAAAGGTGAGGGGACATTTTCTTGAATTTGTTCATGTCTTAGAAACATTCAAGAAAGGGTTGACAGCATGCTTATTAGACGAGCTTGTTAATCTGCGGAGCTGTTAATCTGTTAATCTGCAGAACGCTTTGAAACTAATTGAAAGTGACAAGACTTTTTTTGGAAACGTGAGATTGGAAAATGAGCTGTATAGTGTTTATATAAATGCCATGGAACTGGTAGAAAATAGACATTAATTCAGGGCTGTCCCGAAAAGATCTCTTAAAGAAACATATACTGACTGCCAACTATTGATCAAATTTTGTCAACTCCAATGTCCAATATGCTAATTAATAAATTTCGTAGGTTTTCGTATTAATAAATCACCCTTCTACTCTCCCCTTTGGTACGCCTTTGCATCGATCTAAAGTTTTTCTAATGAAGTTGTGGTTAAGCCAAGAAAGATCAAAAAGCAATTTTACTATGAATATGAAACTGTGAAGTCGCCAATTTTTTTAAATTTCTTTTTTGTAGTTTTAGACAGTACAGTTAATGAAAGATTTGAACAGATAGAAAATTGCAGGAAACATTTCGAATTCTTCTATAACATAAAAAATAAAAAATGTGAAACAGTTGCAGGTAAAGAAAAGTGCAAAAACTTCACTTCGTTTTTACAGTTGATGACAAGAGTGATGTCAACAGAAAAGATCTGTTAGGTAAAATTATTATCTTAGCTCCAATGTTGCTGAACGGTAGATACAGCGATAGTTTCCCCAAAACAACATTTTCATTGTCAACATTTTCAAAACTGTTTGATTGACATCATTCCTAATGTGTGTGTAGTATTGAAAATTTTTCTTTTGTTCCCGGTATCAGTGGCCAGCGGAGTAAATAAGTTTTTCTATATTAACAATTTTTAAGAAACAATTATGTGATATGTTAAAAACATATAAGAATATCAACTTTCAAAATATTTTTTTAAATATTCTTTAAGGATACACGTTTTTTATAATAGGGGGCGCCAAACCGTGACCTTGCATATACCAAAAATAATCCTTGAACCAGCCCTGCTACTGTATATACATAAATCGATATATATAAAGGGCCGGCGCGAGTAGGTGTCACGTGGGGGGGGTGCCATTAAATTTTGCCGACTAAAAAAAAAAAAAAAAAGAAACAAAAAGGTCCTCGTTTTCCAAAATTTGCCGACTGCCATGACGACATTTGCCGACTGTCTAGATAACCAATAACGTCGACATATGCCGACTAACTAGTCTAAAAGGGTCCAATTTGCCAACTTAGGGTCTAATTAAAATCATTGATGAGAGGGTGTCACACCCCCACACCCCCTATCGCGCCAGCCTTATATATATATATATATATATATATATATATATATATATATATATATATATATATATATATATATATATATATATATAATATATATATATATATATATATATATATATATATATATATATATATATATATATATATATATATATATATATATATATATATATATATATATATATATATATATATATATATATATATATATATATATATATATATATATATATATATATATATATATATATATATATATATATATATATATATATATGTCTCCGATTGATATAATTAAGAAAAGATAAAAGCATCAATTTCTAAAGGAAAAACAACAAAACAGCAAAATCTAGTAAATCAAAAGACCCTCTATTGATAAAACTTCCTTACATTTGAAAAATATAAAAAGAAGTTCAACTCAATTATTAAAAAACATTGTAAATCGGTATCCATAAACTTAGTCACCAGTGATCTTTAATTTCAAAATATAATCTTATTTCAGTTTTTATTCAATTCTTGAAATTAGAAAGAAAAAAGCAAAAAAATAAATACAGTGAACATTTATATACTTAAATACTCGACATAAAAACAATGTTCAAATTAATTAAAACTGTTCTTTTTCTTTTCTTTACATAAAATATTGGTTGTAGAATAAATTTAGTCCTTTAATATTATTTTCCATTTTCGAAGTTTTATCTTTCAACTTTGTTTGTCTTGGTTTTTCATTTTTATCTATTCAAAATTTATTAAAATTTGCATTTTAAATTAATTTACTTTTTATTTCAGTTCTTAATTCAGTTATTATTTTACTTTTATCATGTTTTTATCAATTTTTGACAGCATATCAACTTGTTATTATAAAACCTTCAGTACAACAATGTTAAATCAATTTCTTAAAATAATATTAAACAATGTAAGTAAACAAACAAATTGTTGTAAAAGAGCCATTGAATGATTGATTGAAACTTAAAAAAAATATGTTATTGAATTTCAATTATATATACTTGTTCAACTTTATAAAAACCCTATCTCTATTAATTTTTTTACTTGATTATGTTGACTTGATTCCGTTGGCTTGTGGTAATTCGGCGTTCAAAGCTATCTCTCATTGTCTGGTTCTTTGGTATTTCAATATTTCAGGAAGATGTGCAACTGATTTCATCAATTTTACATTTCAAAAGTTGTGTACCTGCATTTCATATTTTCTCTATTTCCATATAAAATTTTTGTGTATCTTTAAAGAGGCGCTACCAAGTTATCGGAATTTTTTCCGGCAAGTGGTGCACCACACGGGTCCTCATTCTTCTTGTACTGTATTAGACATGTGGATTTTTAAATTTTTATTGTAAATAGAGAATTTTCGTGTAGAATTGTCCGATTTCCTGCAAGCCAATAACCTTTGTAAGCTCAATATTTTGTTGTTGATAGTTTTTTTTCTTTTGAATCTTTAAGTTTTTAAATTATTTTGAGACAAAAAATTAAAATTAATGTTAACGGGTCAATAGTCAAACATAAATGAAAATCAAACCTTCGCAAAAATGTCAGAGAGCACGCAACCAGCTTTTTTGTCAGACATGGGCGCCAACAAAAGAGCAAGTAAAAATTTTTAAATAAATTATCGAGAAAAAAATTATAAATATGCATTATATTAAACATTTTTTTAATATTCAATAATTTTTCTTAAATAATAACTTATAATTTTATTCCTATTTCCATTTCGTAAGCTGATATTCAATTCTATTTCAGTATTTGCTATTCTATTTCAGTATTTGCTATTCTATTTCAGTATTTGCTATTCTATTTCAGTATTTGCTATTTTATTTCAGTATTTGCTATTTTATTTCTGTATTTGCTATTGTATTTCAGTATTTGTTCTCGAGACAATTCCTATTTTAAGAAGTCAATTCGCATTAACATAATTAATTACTTTTACTTCTAATTTTACTTAGCGTTTATAAAAATGTCAGTGGTACATTTAAAATTTCTAACATCCTCACTTAAAGTTTTTAAATATTTTTTTTTGTCAAACAAACTTTAATCAATTTTGTATTACTTATCAAGCGCCTCACCTATGGAATAAAATTGTTTTTCCGAATTTTAATATTAAAGTACCTATTATTTTTTGCGTTTTTAAAAAAAAACTGAAAAATCTTCTTTCTTTCATTAGATATTATATTAAGTTATTATTAGTAATAAAAGTTAAAAATATATTTTGATCTACTTTTTTTATTGTTTATAAACATGTTTACGTTTATAGAAGTTTATTTTTACTTATTTTATTTATTATTCTTATACTTTTTACTTTTTAATTTATATGTTGGTTTACTCTTGTATAAAATTCTGATGAGAAGATTCTCTTGATCTTTTTTCAGACACAGATTATTTATCTTGCAATTTTGTAAAAGTTTATTATTTTTTTTTTTTTAACTTATCTTTGTTAAATGCTTATTTAAGGTCCTAACGACAAGATCCTCGCGATCTTCTTTCAGATAGCTTGTTTATATTTGTTATATTTTCTTTCATTGTAAGTTTATATTATTATTTTCATTATTGGTTATTTAAAGCTGTACAACGATTAACAAATGTAAACCAAAAAAAAAAAAAAAAAAAAAAAGTGGTACATTTAAAATTTCTAATATCCTCACCTAAAGATCCCTTGCCGATAGAGTTCAAACCATTCGTTGACTATAATTTGTTAGCGCAGGATGTATTATTGCTCTATTGACGAAACCACTCTTTTCGAGTGCAGGATGTATTATTGCTTTATTGGCGAATCCACTAACGACTTCAAGACATGAATGATTGAGCACTATCGTAGAGACAAAAATTCACATATTTTTAAATATCTCCATGCCTAAAAAAACTGCTACATCAATAATAACGATAAAGGTTTTTCGATATTAGATTTTTCTTCCAATAAATTTTGAATTCAAATTAATGGAAAGTATAGAACACAAAATAAAAAATAATAAATATAAAAGAATGGCAGAAGTCAGATATAAACAAATAGGTTAATCATAAGAAAATGATTCTCTACTATTAGCTGTCTTTACACACACACACACACACACACACAAACACCCACCCACACACATACACACAATTCCGGCCGTAACCGGATTTGCCGGAATTATTAATACAATTTCGGCTGGGGTTGATATAAAAATGCGTTATATTTATACGATAACTTGACGTACTTCAAAATTAAAAAGTCTGTAGTGCTGAAGTTTGCAACTAATGTGATTATTTATTAGTACAATGAATCTTAAATATTTTATTGTAACTATAGTTACTACAATACTGCGCAATAACAATGAGAGCCAGAATGTTTTTAAACTAAAAAGTGTTTTACTTAAATAATATGATTTTTATGCTTACTAGACGTTTCAAAAATGAATACAAATATTTTATTTTTTGTTGTACCATGTGTATCAATAATAAGCGTTAATATTGGTATTTATTTATATTGAGCCAAACGTGTAAATAACGATAATTTTATTTTATTAAGCCATTCAAACAATTGTGTAGAGCTTAACGCATTAAAAATAATAAAAACAATAAACAAGTTAGCACGAGTTTATAATTTTTTTGGCTTTGATATTACGTTCATTATTCATAATTTTTATGTTTCTAATTTTTCCGAGAAAAATTTAGTTATTTAAAAAATGAAGTTATAGTTATTGTTTTTTATATATTATTTATGTTGCGGTTTTTAATAGTATTAATTTACATAACGAATTATTTTTAAATTTATTTATTTATATATGAAGAAACTACTCGTACAAAACAACCTAGTTAAAATGTTTTGGAACTACAATATTCTCATTTCATTGCTATTCTTAATTACTAAATCCTCGGCAGACTGGGACTGGATTGGCTGCTACAATAAATCTAAAGAACTTTACGATACAGAAAATACAACCGTGATAATAGGTGGAATTTTTCCTATACACTTTTGGGATCAAGAAAACAAAAAATATGTATTAAATAAGCCAGGGCTTTTATGGGTTGAAGCAATGGTATTTGCAATAAATGAAATTAATAACAGTCCATCTTTTTTACAGAAAACTAAAGTGGGATATCGCATACTCGATAGCTGTAATGACATAAAAAAAGCAATGAAATCTGCTCTAGAACTTACGCAGGGATTTCCACCTGATGGCAAGTGTCTATGCAATTCAAGTATTTCAAAGGTTGTTGCTGTAGTTGGTGATGCAGCTTCTGCAACATCGGCAAAAGTAGCTGCAATATTATCCTCAACAGTTACAACTCAAATAAGCTACTCAGCAACATCAACTGATTTTAACGCTAAACAAGCTTATCCTTCATTTTTACGGACAATACCTCCGGACAATATGCAAGCATTATTAATTGTTGACTTACTAATACACAATAAATGGACATATGTTAGTTTAATTGCGTGCGATGATGAATACGGTAGAGTTGGATTTAGTGAACTCTTACAAATATTAAAAGAAGTAGAGGTGTGCATTGCAGTTCAAGAAATATATGATGTAAAAAGTGACGTCAGCGATCTATTAACTATAAAAGTTATTGAGAAAATTATTCAAGAAGAAAATGCAAATGTCATTGTCTTGTGGTGTCAGAGACCAGAAGCTATAAGAGTCCTAAAAAAAGCCGAGTCACTGCGTTTACACAATAAAACATGGATAGCAACAGAAACCTATGGAATGAGTGAAAATATTTATGATATTGATCCCAATGTTGTCAGAGGAATGTTTGGAATAGTTCCATTTCAAGCGTTGTATGAACCATTTGAAACCATGTTAAAATCTATAACACCATATACTGTAAACAGAAATCCTTGGATTCAAGAGTATTGGAGAGAAAAGAGTTGTGATAAAAGTAGTGCGATTAACTGCTCAAATATTAATTTAAGCGAGCTTCCTAAAAGCAAATACGCAGAAGTAATTCATGCAGTAAAGTCGATTGCAATAGGTATACAATTGTACGAGAAGTTAAACAACACAAAACCTATTCAACCTAAATTACTTTTCCCTTATGTTAAAAATGTAAGCTTTACAGGTTTAAATAATCTGACTGTGTCGTACGACGAACAAGGAAATCCAGTAGTTGCAAGTTATTCTATCACAAACCTAAAGCAAATTGAAAATAGAAAGTTAAAATGGCAGGTTATTGGTTCCTGGAATGACAAATCAAGAGGTATAATTTTAATTTCTGATAGCCAAATTGATTATGCTGGGGGCTCATTAAAAGCACCTGTTTCATCTTGCAAAGAAATATGCAAACCTGGTTTTTTTGCATTTTCATTTCAGAGTTCATGTTGTTGGAAGTGCGTAAAATGTACAAACGACAGTATACAACCTAAATACGGACAAAGTAATTGCACTCCTTGTACTGAAAATAAAAGATCAAATATTAATAGGACGGTTTGCATTCAACCTGAAAGGTTGTACATGAAAGCAAACAGCAAAGAAGGTGTCTTGTTAATTACATTTTCAACTATTGGATTTATTTTTGTTTTATTTGCTATTTGGACGTTTTATAAGTACAAAGACACATTTGTCGTTAAAGCTTCAAACCGTAACTTAACTTTATTACAGCTTGTAAGTATCTTGTTCATCATATTGCTTCCATTAGTTTATATTCACAAAGAGATTGAAGTTTATAAATGCGGTGGTCAACTATTTTACTTTGTATGCTTTAATTCTATTGCTATATCGGTAAATTTTACAAAAGCCGACAGACTATTGAGGATATTCAAGAAGAGTAAATCAGGTCGTTTAACGAAATTTAGCATTTTAAAAACAAATAAAGTACAGTTTCTGACTGTTGGCGCTTTAACATTCATAGGTATTGTATTAAGCCTAGTTTCTTTCTTTTCATTTCCAGTCCAAGTAAGTTATACTCAGAAAACACTTGAAAATGACAAAATGTTAGTTGTTTATTACTGTGGTGGATACTATGACTCTATTTTATTTTTAATGATTGGTTATGTATCACTAATAGCACTTGTGTGTGGAGTATATGCTTTCAAAGCCAGGAACATTCCAGAAATATACAATGAAGCTCGATTAACTAGCTTAGCAATGTTTGTATTTTTACTGTCGTGGCTGATATTTATTCCTTTGTACTTGAGTGCAAATGGTGAACAGCAAAAACCTGAAATTTTGTGTTTTGTCTCATTCATTTCTGTTATATGTTTTTTTCTTATCATGTATGCTCCAAAATTATACATCATTTTCTTTAAAGCAAAAGAAAATGTAAGAGGAAGAATCAAAGTAAAAGTAGCAGAATTTACAAAAATTTCCAATGAATTTGAAAAGCTTTAAAAACTTAAAATTTCAAATTTTGCCCAAACAGTTATATTTATTAATGGTTTAGTTCGGTAATATTCAATAAATAAAATAGGAAAATATACTGTTTTGTATAGTTTAATAATATAATGTCTTCCATTGCTGCTTTTATTATTAAATTTATTACTTGATAAAATGTTTTATAAATAATATTGTTCTATTATATTTTCTAAATAATTATTACTATTATTATAAACATTATATAGTATAAAAATATAATAACTTAACTATAATTTATAAACTTTAGTTAATATAAATCAGAGACAAAGGTATTTTTCAGGGTGGCTTTCAGGGGGCTTCAGATCCCTCGTCTCTCTGCTTCTACTTAAATTTTTAGTATTAAATTTTTTTTTAATATTAAAAGAATTTTACAACGTATGCGAAAAAGACAAGCAAAAAAAAAAAGTACATTTAACAAAAATTTAAATAGAGCTAATATAAAACGTCAAAACGTTTATTAAACGTGTATTAAATGTGTATTTTTGTCATGTTTAAAAAATGCACCTAAAAGTAGTCTACTATCAAAACCGTTAAAATATAGAAACCATCAATTGGTACTCTTTTGAAGAAAATGACAGAATTCGTGTAATGTAGCGAGAGAGTCAGCGCCAGAAATTAAATCTATTTTAAAAGCAAAACTAAGTATTATATCAAACAACGCAACTACTCTAAAGTTGAAAATTTGTTAGGTATAAAAAAAGCATTCATTTCCTAAAAGAAATTCGTTAACATTTAAATGAAATCCATGGTTTCAAATCACCTAAACCTCATCACTATAATTAATATTCTCAATGGTATTAATTTGATTACAAAAAGTTGATATTTAGGCCAAATAAAATAGAAATTCTATGACGGGAAATAAGATTTAAAAACTTTAACTAACTGTTAAATTTGAGTTGTTTTAAGTAAACTTAAAGAACTCAAAAAAACTTAAAGAAACTGAGCAATTACTTAAAGGAAACATTTACATCGATAATGTAATTATTATTTATCATTAACGAATTCGATAATGGGTGCCTTAAAACCAAAATTTTAGAGACGTTAATGAAAGACATTTATTACAAAATAAAAACTTCGAATATTAAAAAGATTTATATGACATTTTGAGAAGTCTTCAAAAAAATATCAAAAACAAAAAAATACTACAAGAATGTATTATATAAAAAATAAAATCAGTGTATGATGTAAAAAAAAAATAACTTGAAAAATCCTTTCGGACGATTGCGTAAAAGCGCTTAACTAATTAAAAACAACTGAAAATGTCAGCTGAAGTGATTATAGAAAGAGCGCATTGTATCGGTCAACGCAAAGATTAAAAACAAAGCACGATTTTTCAAAAATTCTTAAGTTTTCATAAAAAAAAAATTCTTAGTGCAATAAAATTATTGAAGAAACTTGCTTTTATATAAATATTTTGTTTTAGAAATAATCAGAGAAGGAAGTTATGGAAAGAAAGAATAAATTACGTTTTTTGTAAATTTAACTTTTTTGTTCAAATTTTAGGCTAAGAAAGAAAAAGTAACAAAAAAAGGTTCTTTTTAGCTTTATGGTAAAGGTTTTACCATAAGGCTAAAAAGACATATCCTAATAATATTTAGTTCATTTAGTTTTTTTTGATAAAGATAAAATACTTATAGTTTTAAACTAATAAATTATGATCATCAAGCTAATTGAATATTGAATAGTTGGAGCACAAATACCAATACCACTGCTTTTGTAGGCTAAAAATCTTCAAATCACTCTATTGAGAGCTTCCCATGTTTCTTCTTTTTGCCTCAAATTTTTTCCAATGCAATTCCTTCTTAAGTTGAAGTATTCATGGCTCTAAAAAAATACTCACTTTAACTTTTGTATCACTTATTTTTGGAAATTGGTTTCTTCAATACCTAAAAGTTTGGGTGGAAGAAAAACATCTTTTTGTTTTACAAGTGGTTCAGTAATAACATTTTTTTCATTTGTGTTGTTTTTTCTTGTAGACCAGTTTTCTTTTATGTATTGTGAACTTTTGTCACACAAACAAAAAAAGCAGCAGTATTTAGTAATTGCACTCCTAAAAATAAAGTTTTGACTTTAGATCATCACAAAATTTCCATTTGTTTTAACTGTAATTGATTGAGTTGAGGATGCTTTCATGTTCATATAAGTCTCTTTTATGTGAACTGCATGCCCAATAAATGCAATAATACAGATTTGAAACTTAGCTTAGATGAGTGTATAAATAATTTCCATTCAGTTGGATATAATTCAAATTGAGATACATAAACTCAAAGACATCAATGAACAACAAGAATATTTTTCTTCCAAAAAAATGGAAGTAGAGTATGCTGCTGTTTTCTTTAATTTGAAATTATGTTATCAAATCGGAGGTTATTAGGATGAAAATATGACATCAAATCGGAGGTGATTAGGGTAAAAAATATGACATCAAATCGGAGGTGATTAGGGTGAAACTATGACATCAAATGGGAGACGATTAAAATTCTTTTAATCTTCTCTAATTTGATGAACTAGAATATAAAAATAAAAAACCTGAAATAACTAGCTTTAATAGAGCGGCATCATTTAATAATGAAAATATAAAAGTGTTTTATGATAAATTAGGTGAAGTTATGGATATATATAAGTTTAATACTTTAAAAAGATGTTAACAAAACTAAAAAAGATGTTAACAAAACTAAATAAGATGTTAACAAAACTAAAAAAGATGTTAACAAAACTAAAAAAGATGTTAACAAAACTAAAAAAGATGTTAACAAAACTAAAAAAGTCACAATCATCAATTTCAAAAAAAAGTCTTCTAGTCTTCTATATCAAAATTTTTCTTAAAATCAAAAAAAAAAAAGGTCCTCTACAAAAAAAGTAGGGTTATTAATCATGTATTGTCTGTCTTCACGGCAAATTAAAAGCTTTTAAATTGTTGTTAAAACTGCTTCTTTGAGCATCTCTTAATTGATCTAGTCTTCAATATGAGATGTAAAAAATATATATTTCGCTTCAATATGAGCTGTAAAAAATATTAAATTGAACAGTTAGTGTTGAATTTTACACGACACATGTCTATGTTTTAATATATTAGAAAATTTTAATTAGTTTTAGTCAACACTCGTCAGATAAAAAAATGTATTTTCTCTATATTCTAATTGTGCGTAATAATTAGAGGAAATATCTTCACCAACCGTAGAGGACCAACCATTATATTGCTAATCTTTTGAAAGAATTACATAAGTCTTTGAAAATGATATATAATAATGATATATAATATGACATATAAGAATTACATATATACTCACATAAGTCATTGACTATTTATCACTATTATTATACTTAGATTTATTAGTTTATTTTTATTAACATTTATTAAAACTGTTGAAATATTTGATTGTTAAAGTTCTGAAGTCCATTTTATTCATGAGTTTCCAAATGACAGTCAGTACGCAACTATTGCAAATGATCGTACATATTCCTTAAAAACTATTGCAAATGATCGTACATATTCCTTAAAAACTATTGCAAATGATCGTACATATTCCTTAAAAACTATTGCAAATGATTGTACATATTCCTTAAAAATTATTGCAAATGATCGTACATATTCCTTAAAAACTATTGCAAAACTATTGCAAATGATCGTACATATTCCTTAAAAACTATTGCAAATGATCGTACATATTCCTTAAAAAGTATGCTACAAAATAATATAAAAAATAAAAAGTCATACTTATGATGCATATAATTTAAGAATACTGTTTTGGCCCACTAACTTAGAGCTTAACTTTGGAAAATCATTAAATATTTTGGGGTAAAAGATTTGTTATTTATTAATTTTCTTATTTGAATAATATATATTACTAAATTTATTAATTATTATTAATTAATAAATTTAGTAATATATATTATTCAATTTTAGAAAATTAATAAATAACAAATCTTTTACCTAAATTTATTAATTATTAACTTTTTACAACTGGGTGACTGCAATTAAAAATATTTTATTTTTATTTTTTATTTATTTTATTTATTTTGTCAAGCAACCATTTACAATTAAAGATAATTTCCGATAAAATATTTAAAAATATTAAATACAAGTACATTTCATTATTTATAATAGTTACAAGACCGGAGAACCTGAAGAAGATAAAATCTTATCATCAGTAACCTTTGATAATAAAAATTGGAAATAAAAGTGTATTGTTAGAAAAAATCATGTAACGAATCTTGATTGGCAATAAGTTCGATTAAGTTCTTTTTAAATTTTTGAGAGGAATTGGCTTCTTTAAGTTTACCACTCAGGCTTGTAAAATGGTTCCATAGCATTGGGCCACGATAGGAAATGGCAAAGCTCGTAAGTTTTGATGTACGGAAAGGTTTTTAATATTTTCCGGTAGATCTCGTGTTGTATCGGTTTAATGTTTTATGGAAAATATTTTCGAAAACCTTCGGCGATTTTTTTTTTGATTGATGTTAGAACATAAATTGTGTAATTTTGAAAATATTTAATTTATAAATATCCAGTGCCCTCGTGCTTTTTAGAAGAGTTTTAGCATTTGTGAAGCGATTTTGAAAATGAATAATGCGTGCTGCATGATTCTGTTGTTTAAGGAGACAGTCGAGTTTAGATTTATTTGGTAAGGATTTTGGAATAGATTGAAACTTTCGTTTAGAATGGAATAAGGAAAACTTAGTTTTATCAGTGTTTAAAGATAGGCTGTTAGCGATAAGCCAGTTTGATATTTGTTTTAGTTCATTATTTGCTACTTGAAATAGAGAGATAATATTACTGTGAGAATAGAATAAAGTGGTGTTGTCTGCTATACTAGTTGATGCTTTATATAGATCTTTGACATAGATTAAGAACAGCAACGGACCTAAAGTTGAGCCTTGTGGAACCCCACATGATATTTTAAGTTTGTTTGTCTGAAAGCCATCATTTAGAGAAATAAGCTGCTTTCGATCAGTTAAGTAACTGGTAAACCATTTATGGTATTCGTGGCTTATACCATAATATTTTAGTTTTTCTAATAAAATCTGATGATTAACATTTCAAATGCTTT